CTCTCTCTCTCTCTCTCTCTCTCTCTCTCTCTCTCTCTCTCTCTCTCTCTCTCTCTCTCTCTCTCTCTCTCTCCTGCACTGCCACGTTATCCCCGCCTCCCACTCTCCCTCTCTCCTTGTGCCCCTCTCTCTCTCTCTCTCTCTCTCTCTCTCTCTCTCTCTCTCTCTCTCTCTCTCTCTCTCTCACCCTCTCTCCCTCCCCCTCCCTCCTTTCATCTCCACCCTCTCTCTTTTCATATGAATGTGTGGTGAGTGCTTGATAGATAGATCAACAGGAGAGAGAGAGAGAGAGAGAGAGAGAGAGAGAGAGAGAGAGAGAGAGAGTTGGGTAGAGGACTTGTGAGCTTGCCATTGTGATACCTTTGTGATACCTCTCACCCTGATCTTGTCTTCTTACTGTCCAAGCGTGCATGCTGGGGAGAGAGATCTCTTTTTGTGTTTTTTTCTTTTTCAATTTGGACCATTTCTTGATTTATGCGAGTCATCCTTCTGCAGGGCCCAGGCTAATCTTCTTTCTCCGAATCGTTCCAATTTTAACGGATGTCCTGAAGGACGAGAGATTCCTTCGTATGCTGGTTAGAGAGATCTCCTTGTCCATCTCTCTCCAGTCGTTGTCTTGGCATTGTTATTACCAATGTATCATTCAATTGTGGGAGAGATTATACAATGATGAATCGATTGATGATAATATTTCTTCATCATTACAATTACGCTTTGTTGCCTGATCCCTGTCATTAGAGTGCTGAGTCTGCTGACTACTTACACACTCGTTGGAAAGTGGATTAGAGGTTGTTTGCTGGCCAATTCCAAGTTCCATAGACCCTGTTGTGGAGCCTGTGCTAGTGAGTTGGGACTTGGGAACCTACATGCCATACTCTTTGTCTGGTACCTTAAACCACCAGTACCTTTCTCAGCTATCGTTGTCGAGCCTAAAATGCACCTGCGCGCCCAAAAAAATGAACCGGCGCATCACCTGTTTTGCCTGGCGCCACCAGCCATTTCGCACCGGTCCTTTGGAACCCGCCCGCCTCTCGTGCTAACCGGCGGGCATTTGTCTTTTCAAGCGGGGAAAAGGTACTAGTGGTTTAAGATATCATCATTGAACTGACCAGTCCCAGGTAATTCAGAGTGGTTTTGTTCTGTTCATCTCATTGGATTCGAACTTGAGTCTGTATTTCAACAGTTCATTGGTGTACCAACTGAGCTAGGCCTGTCCGTGGTACCACCTTTCATCATTACCGTTGTCCTCCTTTTTCGCTACGTGGGAATGCCTATCATGCGCCATATTTTCTTTCTTATTTTCATGTCTTGAAAGTCCGCATCTCACCGTCTCATACAAAAGTGCAGGTCAATCTCCAAAGGTACCTTCTGTAGGTTTAAGTGTCACCCCCTCCCCTCCCCCCCAGCCCTTCCCTCAAGCGTTAAACCCCTAAACCCCTAAACCCCTAACCCCTAAGCCCTAGGCCTTTAAACCTCGAGACCCTTAACCTTCCATAACCCTAATGCCCTAAACCCCTAAACCCCTATTCCGCTTTAACCCCTAAACGCCTATGCCTCTACACCCCCTAAGCCCCTGGATGTCTAATACCCCTACCCCCCTAAACCCCCAAACCCTTTAATCCTGAACCCTCGATTTCATTTTGCACCATATGACCACATTCATTGTCTGAACTGTGTCTATAGCGACTACGTACGAGATTTGCTGGTTTGCTGAGTTTCTTTTTGCCTTCTTGTTTTTTTTGGGACCATTTTTTTGGGACACATTGTTTGGGACCATTGTTTTGGGACACATTGTTTGGGACCATTGTTTTGGGACCATTCCTGGTTTGCTGAGTTCCCAAGATGTCAAAATTGGGTCTTTTCCTGAGGTAAAGTGAGGTTTACTTTGCATTTCTGAACTTTTCTCTTTGCGCACCGTTAATTTTGGTGGTCACTAAAATTAACTGCTACATTTAATTACGTTCGTAAACCGCTAATTCTGTTCGTAATTGACCGTTAATTCTGTTCGTAAACCGCTAAACTACCCGTACATCCGATGATCCAAGCCTCTTTTTTTTTTCTTTTTTTTTTTCCGGAGCCTCTTTTTGTCAATGCGGATTTCCCTTCTGCGCCACGCTTTGCCGAAACGTGGTGCGACACTTTTTCTTCTGACTGGTGCCTCCAGCCATTTGGTCCGCTAGCCTCGATCCGCCGGAATTTTCAGATTGACTCGATTTCGATTCTGCAATTTGCCTGGGTGATGTGCTGGTGGGCTAATTTTGGTACATTTCCCCCCTGAGGATTGCTGTATAATAGTGGTCTCCTCTTCGCAAATCATTCTTGTGTTCGCAAAACAAAAATGTTATGGTTGGGAAAATGTTTCAGGAGAAGATAGTGAAGTGTGTGTCGGGAAGAATCTCTGGTATGTTTGCAAATCTTCGCTGCTTTTTCTTTCTACTTACGAGTCTTTATGACACACTATGTATATGTGCAGTGATGGAGGAGGAAGGGACGACAGAGGGTGGAAAGCAGCTTAGCTCGCTAAGCGACAAGTATCGTGCAAGAATTGGCTACCAGGAAGAAATAACTAAGGCACTGCGGGAGAAGCAACGAAAACTGAAGGCAAGAACCGCCACCTTAAAAATTCCGGCTTCTCTCTCTCTCTCTCTCTCTCTCTCTCTCTCTCTCTCTCTCACACACACACACACACACACACACACACACACACATCTCCTTATGGTTTGAAATATATATATATATATATATATATATATATTTGTGATGATATATATATATATATATATATATTTGTATACATATGTATATGTGCAAGTGTGCCGCTTTGGCAGCAGACGGGTGTGTGGGCACTTGGCGCTGAACCACACAAACGTGGCCAACCTTGCATTTTCTATTAGACTGCCTCTCTATACTTTTTCGTTATGGATGGCTTGTGATGTTTTGTGAAGGGAATGAGAGAAAGAATCTGGGGTCTTTTAAAACAACACACACACACACACACACACCACACACACACCACACACACACACACACACACACACACACACAATCAGTTTTATGTATGTCTGTGTTGGTTGCTTCATTTTTTGAATTTTTCTAAGTACTTTTTGTCACCTTTAATTAGTGTCAAACAGTTGGCCATTCCTCGTTTGGAGTGCCTGCAGCACTTTTAGGCGGGGCTGCTCAGTTCAAGATGTCTGTCTGTCTTACTGGTGATGATGGATGCTCGTCGGAGCGACTCGCTGGCTCAGTGGGTGGTGGGAACCCACAGTCTGTGGGGTTCACCCGTGACGTGAGTAGGTAAGGTGCCGCTTTGCTCCGTGTTGGATGTGTGGACTGCCTCGTCTGCGCTCCACCGCTGCCTTGCTGCCCATTCCCCTTGCTTCTCAGGTCGTTTTTGGCAAACTGCTGTGTTCGGTGTGTGGTGTGGCCGTGTTGTTGGTGTTGCCTTGCGCTTCGCTGCTCCGCTGTCTTGCCGCCCATCTGCTGGCTGTGCCTTCCGTGTCTGTTGCTTGCATGCCTTGTAGTTTGGTTGCCTTGTTGGTGTTGCCTTGTGCTTCGCTGCACGGTGGCCATGCTGCTCGTCCGCTCGCCCTGCCGTTCCTTGCAGTAGTTTTTGTCGTTGTGCAGTCAGGTTGCTCCGACAGCGTTGCCTGGTGCTTCCTTGAGTTGTTGCCTGCTGCTTTGTGCGTGGCTGTGGTGTTGGTGTTGCCTTTGTGCTTCACCGTGTGGCTGCCGTCCTGCTCGTCCGCTTGCCCTATCGTCCCTTGCAGTCGTTTTTGGCGTTTTTGGCGCCATGCAGCCGTGTGGCCTCTACTGCTTTGCCTGGTGCTCCACAGGGTTGCTGCTCGCTTGCTGCTATGTTCCACATGGGGACAGTCTGACTTCTACATGGGTTACATGGGTCAAAGGGTTCATGGCGCAAACCATCAAATACAGAGATCCTGCAGATTGTCAAGGGTTCAGCCTCCTGATGAGTCGGTGCAACTCCGACGAAACAATCCATCATCAGGTTTTTTTTTTTGCCTTTGTGTTCTTTTGTCTGCCTTGTTGTCTTGTTGCCTTGCTGCCTCTTCACTTCCCCTCCCGGTCTTTTCTTGTTTAATGATGTTCGCCTGACCACCCTCCTCCCCCTGGAACCTACGGTTCCGTGCTGTTGCTTCACCGCCCTACTGCTCCTTCTTGACTTGTTGCGGCCTCGTTCTTCTGCCTAGTGCTGTTTGTCTGCCTCCCACTACCTACCCACCTATTTTATTTATTTTTTCTTTAAACTAATCTCTATTCTTCTCTCAATATGCCTCCCACTACCTACCTACCTACCTATTCTGGAATGCTACACTCTTTGTGTATGGACCACAAGCCAGCTACACTAAGGGTTATGGGTTGAGCCTAACTCCCAGCGACAGGAGGAAGGGATATTGGCACTCCCAGCCAACCAACTACCGTCTTCACCCGGATACAATGTATGGTCATTATTGCTGTATCTCATGACCGTACGTTGTATTCGGGTGAACACGGCAGGAGGGGCAAGCTGACTATCTCAGCTGGAGAATCCGCAGCGCGCCTCAGGGGGCCGTGGGATTTCCCGGTCCAAAATGGAAGGCGCGAGGAATCGAACCCACGGCCTCCTGAAAGCAGCTTTCGTGCTCTACCAACTGAGGACGTCGTTATATTTAAACAAGAAAAATATTTATTTTAAAAAGGGGCACTGAGTAAAAGAGTTGGACGGGCGCAGCTGAGAGTTAAGCTTTCCAAGGGAAGCAATCAATGCTGTTTCCCAAAAAAAAATAAAAAAATCAATGCTGTCAGAGTTCCCCGGAGCATAACCTAGGGAAGCATGGAGGGCAAAGTGTGTATTGTTATTGCTGCAAGGGACGCTGGGACCATTTCCCAGCAGGTGCCACTCCCCACAGCAGTGGGCTTGAAAAGACAGTGGCGAATTTTAAGATCGTGCTGAGCTCAGAAACAATGGATTTTCGTTTTCTTTTTCTCCTCGAATTTGGTCTCTAAGTCGAGGCCAACATCATATCATATCGTATCAATTGACCCCATTCCCTGAATTGACTTGCTGCCGTACGCAGGAACTCGAGGTCCCCAATCAGGCACAGATGGTGATGCTAAAGGACCTTAGATCATTGATGAACCTCAAGCTCCAACTCTATAGAGGAGAAGTCAAGCCGCAGATGGGACGACCTGCACTGGAAATCAGGGAGCTGGTCAGAACTCTCCTCCTCTCTCTCTCTCTCTCTCTCTCTCTCTCTCTCTCTCTCTCTCTCTCTCTCTCTCTCTCTCTCTCTCTCTCTCTGTGTGTGTGTGTGTGTGTGTGTGTGTGTGTGGCCCTTTCTCCAGTATCTATCTAAATACCTACTTAACAACCTACCAACCCTTCTACCTAACCTATGTATCTATCTGTCTATAGAATCTGAGTCTATAGAATCGATCTAGTCTAATCTAATATGATAGTAATATCTAATCTAATCTATTGAATCTATCTAATCTCTCTAATCTTTCTGATGTCAATCTAATATCTATATAATTTATCACATATATCTCACCTACCTAATCTTTCGAGTCTTTTTAACGCGATCTCTTGAATCTAATCCAATCTTATATGATCTAAGTCTAATCTAATCTCGTCTAATCTGATCTTAATCCAAATCTATTTATAAAATCTAATCTAATTCAACATCATCTAAAAAACCGACTCTCGTCTAATCTACTCCAATCTTATATGTAAAAATTAAATGAATTTAAATCTAAGATACTCTATACAACCTAACCAAACCTAGTCTAATCTTATCTACATCCTTTTTTCAACGGAACTAATCTACTCTATCTATCTATCTACCTATCCATCTATCATTCTATTTACGTATTTCTCACATGTCCTCTATCTTGCTCCGTGTCACAAAAACACATGCGTAGTCACATAGATAGTACTAGACACACATGCTCTCCAAAGTTTTGTACGTGCAATAACTACCCGTGACTTGATGACATTGCAGACGATATCCATTCGTTCATTATGATAGTGCACGTGTTGATGCGTTGGGCAAACTGCCAATCACTACTCACCACTGTCTTCCCCCGAACACAACGCACCCTCAATTTGGCTGCGGTGGACCCGAAAGATGGTTTGTATTACACTCGTTATCAGGGTGTGTTGTGTTCTGGGAAAGACGGTCGTGGGTAGTGCTTTATGAAAACGATCATTTTGCTTGCGTGTGATGCGCATATGCTGAAGAAGACGCTTCCCCCCCCCCCCCCCCCCCCCCCCCCCCCCCCCCCCCCCCCTCACCCTCTCCGTGCCCGCTCCCCCTGCAGCACCGTTTGTTCGCTGGCCCCCCATGCAGCCCCCCTCGCTGCACCCCCCCCCCCCCCCCCTTCCCTCCCTCACCCACATCCTCTCAGCGGATTCATTCATTCGCTTGATTTGAAGGTAGAATACAATTAGTGTTGGTGCCGCTGCTGCGGCTACACATTGAATGTGCAAGCAAAACTGTGAAATGAAGAAAAAGGGTGCCTGGAAAAAAAAAAGGAAAAAAAAAAAAAAAAGTCTAAGAGACTGCAGCCTGTGAAAGGAATAAAAAGGATGTCAGAAGTGCAACTAACTCTCCAGAATTTTCAAGCCGTTGCCTCGAAGACGAAGTAGTCGTAGTAGTAGTAGTAGTAGTAGTAATAGTAGTAGTAGTAGTAGATATGGATCACTACATCTGGGCCTTCACACCTCTCTCCATGAGTTTGCAAAGAAACTTCATCTGAGCCTTCACACCTCTCTCCATGAGTTTGCAATGAAACTTCATCTAGGCCTCAACAATTATTTCTTTCTTTGAATTCGAGTTTGCGAAGAAACTTCAGAAGCTCCACACCTTCATCTAGGACTCCTTTAGTCAACTTCAACCTTCAGCCGTTCGTACTTTTTTTTCTCATTTAATTTGTGATTATGTGTTGATACCTTTTTTGAATTTTTTTCTCATTGAATTTGGGTTAGCGTATGGGTGACCGGCCGGGCATGTGGCGATCGGAAGCGGAGGAGGATCTATATACCATCCAAGCAACTTAGAAAAGATTGGAAAGTATTGCCAGAAGTGAAGCGAAGGTGATAGCCCTATATTGGGTTAGATCATTTCTAGATGTGTGGAATCTGTGGACTTTTTTTTTTTTTAATCTGGTCTGTGCTCCTCCTCCGATGCCTTGGTGCCATGTCTTTCCTTACAGCTTTTGTTCACCTGCTGTGTAGTTAAGCAGTGTTGTCCTCATTGCCTTGTGCCTTGCTGTGCCGTTGCCTTCCTGGCCATCCGCATGCCTTGTCTGTTCTTGCAACGCGCCTGTTCGTTCGTTGGTTTGGCTGCGTCAATAGTGTGCCGCCTTGTGCTTCGCTGCGTTGTTGCCTTGCTATGCGCCCACTTGCCTCCTCTTTCCATGTAACTTGCCTCTTCGCTGTGTAGTTTGGCTGCTTTGATATCGTGCTGCCTTTCGCTTCACTGGCTTGTTTCCTTGCCGAGCATCCGCTTGCCCAGTCTTTCCCCCCCCCCCCCCCCATCATCTGTTAGAGGCCTGTTTGTAGACGTGATTACGTGCAACATATTTGTTTGCCATGTAGTTTGGCTGCTTTGTCAGCGCTGACGTGTGCCTCGCTGCGTTGCCGCTTTGCTGCTTGTGCTGCCGTTTGTCGGGTTTCAACAGGGGTTTAAAGGGGTCCATAACTCAAGGCATCAATATGGGTATTCCACAGATTTCACGGCTCAGCCTCCCAATGATTTGGTGAAGTCCGACGAAACAGTTGGTCATTAACCCTTCTGCTTGTGCGTTTCGGTGCCTTGTATTCTATGTGGGTGCGTTACGTCGAGGTCGTCTTCGGACTCGTTCAGATGCGTATTTTCCTACCGAGGTGCAATGTTATCATGCATGGTCTATTACCATGGTAAGAGTCATCTGCCATGGTCTTTTACAATGGTAAGAGTAAACTGCCATAGTCTTTTACGGTCATTCACCCTGCCATGGTATTTTACTTACCATGGTAAGCATAACCTACCATCGTCTTTTACTGTGGTAAAATGCCATGGTATGTTTCAAGCACCATCTACCATGGTCGCTTCCCATGATAAGAATAACCTGCCATGGTCTTTACCATGGTAAGATTAACCGGCCATGGTCTCTTACCACGGTGAGAATAACCTGCCACCGTGTTTTACCGTGGTAAAACGCCATGGTACCTTTCAGACACATCGACCATGGTCTTTTACCATGGTAAGAATAACCTACCAGGCTACCATGCTATTTTCACATGGTAAGAATAACCTGCCATGGTCTTTTGCCATGGTCTTTTACCATGGTAAAACACCATGGTACCTTTCACTCACTTCTCCACACACACATACATACCGATCACAAACGGATGTCGGTCTTCATCACAACTGCACACCCATCCATTTCTCTCCTCCTTGCTAGCAAAGCTCTAAGGGGTATCCCTCCTACTCGTACCCCCGTTTGTATGCCCATTTCTTCACAGAAACGGACAGATGAACCAGGTACATTTCACATGCACATGGATGAACAACCAGGTACATTCATTAGAGGGCCATGGAGGTCGAAACAATTTGGTCATTCCTCCTTCAGAACATTCTCCTCATACTGCCATGGATCTGCCGTCACTTTGCAAAGCAAGGATTTCAATTCTCTCTCTCTCTCTCTCTCTCTCTCTCTCTCTCTCTCTCTCTCTCTCTCTTTTGCAGGTGTGTGTGTATGTCTGTCTATGTGTGTGGGGGGGGGTGGGGGGGGTAGGTGCGGACGTGGGTGGGTGTGCTTCTATAATGATGATCAGTGTTTTCTGATTGTGTGGCAGGGAGGTGCGAATCGCCTAATAATAGCGAGTGACGGCTGAAGTTTATCGATGAGAGCATGGCACGGCCAAAACTCCTGGAGTAGAGAAGCTTCAAAGGTTGATTCACATTTCTGACGTTCGATTATAATTGGTGTACCTCTACGTGTGTGAAGCCGAGTCCTAGACTGAAGACGAGGGCCTGCACGATTGTCCGCCACTGCAGTTCTGCTCACAGAAGGGGGAAAAAAACAGGCTATTTGTTGTGGTTGTGTAAGTGTTAGAGAGAGACAGAGAGAGAGTGTGTGTGTAAAWRTGTGTGTGTGTGTGTGTGWGTGTGTGTGTGTGTGTGTGTGAGAGAGAGAGAGAGAGCTGCTCACAGAAGCGGAAAAAAAACAGGCTATTTGTTGTGGTTGTGTAAGTGTTAGAGAGAGACACAGAGAGTGTGTGTGTGTGTGTGTGTGTGTGCGTGAGAGAGAGAGAGAGAGAGAGAGAGAGAGAGAGAGGGAGGGGAGGCAGTGCAACAGAAGGTGCGCATAGACAACAAGCACAAAAGAGTGGGAGGATGGCTGATAGGCAAGGCCAGATATAGTTTTTTTTTCCTTTTTTTTTTTCCTTCATGTTCAGGGAGATCTGACAGAGTAAACAGTCGTCATTCGACAATTTTTGGGGGCACTACACAGAGTTCCCTAGAATAAAAAAGTAAAAAGAAGGTGGCCCTCCCTAGAAGGCATATGAAGCCCGGGCCATAAGGGAAAGGGCAAGGGGCAAAGGCAAGGAAGTGCACACCACGCAAAGCGAAAAGCGCATTGTGTATTAAAGTAGACAATAGCGGAAACCTGCAGTGCGGGAAGTCAAATTGAAAAAACTTCCCGTCATCCGTCATGGACGTCACATAAGTAAGGCCAGACAGAGTAAACAGTGGATATTTGAGTCATTTGACAATTTTCGGGGGCACTACACCAAAAACTTCCCCTATAATAAAAAAGTAAGAAGTAGATGGTGCTTCCCGGCATGTGTTATGGAGCCCACGGTCGTAAGGACCTTTTTATTTGTTCAAAAAAAAAAAAAAAAAGTAGATGAGCATTTAAATTTATTGAGCAGAATGTGACATGAAGGTGCAGAAAATTCAACTTCTGGGTGGCAACTCGAGTGTAGAAATTTATTTAAAAATTATTAAATTAAAATTTTGGATGCATCATATTGCAGTCAGCAAGAATGCAATTCTGTTGCACTCTTGCCCTTGAGAAGCCCACCCCTCTTGCGGGACTACCACTCTTAGCATCTTCCCCACCGACGAGAATGCATTGTCCTTATCTCTGTATCTAGACTGAAAGTTGCCCCAAATACATTTGTAAATACAGTTGTAAATACTGTTGTAAATGACTGCTCGCCGTGCTCGCTTCTATTAGGGGTAATTTTAGCATTACCGAGCTAGAACTTGTAAATATCGAACATTACACGGAAGTGACGGAAGTACCGTTTTTTTCATTGGAATAAAAAGGGGAAAAAAACAGAAGCCTGAACTCCCTAAAAGAAAAAAGGAAAAAAAAAAGAGAAAAGGGGGGGGGAAAAAAAATAAAAAAAAATCATCAAATGTATGAACTCCTAACGTCAGGATCAATAATTCGAGGCTTACAACTTCACAGCAAACATCCACGGCAAGAACAGAATTACCACTGCACCTGACAAAAAAAAAAAAAAAAAAAAAATTGCACCTGAGCAGTAAGAGATGGTACCTGCCATCCTGCTCACCCTCACTTCTGCTCTGATGGTGCTAATGTTACGTACAGCCAAATTACATTAACCATTGCCCCCCTGGTTTGAAATCTGCATCCATACATTTACATATATGATATCAAATGTGTACTCAATACTCTCCCGGCTGACTGCCGAAGGTCTCACCTTCGCCGCTACAGTTTTATGTGTTATTTCTCCCGAGCCAGGCGTGTGGGGGCATTCTCCCAAGAAAGACGCACAGCCTCCAAACTCCTCGTGCTCGTGGTCGTCGTCGTCGTCCTCCTCCTCCTCCTCCTCCTCCTCCTGCTGCTGCTGCTGCTGCTGGTGGGCAGATGAATCAACCTGTGTTCTATTCGAACTGCAGGAGGTACATGGCATGCTTTGCACTCCAGGTACACTTTTCACGACCAGAAGATAACAACCCCAATAGTCATATACCTATGGAATTCTGTTAATCTATCCTCCTCCTCCTCCTCCTCCTCCCCCCCCTCATGAGCAGAGGGAATCAACGTGTGGTCTATTGGAAATGCAGAAAGTACATGGTATGCTCTGCACTCCAGGTGCTCTTTTCACTACCAGAAGATAGTGATTGTAATAGGTATACACTATATATACCTGTGTAACTTCATTAATTTTCTGTTCATCATCTATGGATATACACATTGGGGTACTGAGAAGTTTAGTACTACTCACCCTAATAGTCATATACCTACGTAACTTGGTTAACTTCTTGTTCGTCTATGGATTACACACTTGGAGTTAGTTTTCTGTTCGTCTACGGATTTAAAAAAAAAAACAAAAAAAAAAACATACACACTTGGGAGTTAAAATTTCTGTTCATTTATGGATATACAGTATTACACACATTTGGGTACTACGTGCCATCTTCCCCCATACAAAATGCACCCCCATCTTAACTGTATCGGACTCTAAATCCTCCTTGTGTACATTCATAATGAGGATGCGATGCATTTCCGGGGGTGGGGGGGGAAGACGATAGCTTGTCTCTACCCTATCTCCAAAGCAAAACAAATGACAGAATGAAAAAAATGTAGCGAAAGATTGGCAAAAGAAGGCAAAAAAAAAACTTTAAAAAAAGGTTGCAACGGGTAAAAGAAGTGCACGGTGTTACCCAAAAAAAAAAAAAAAAAAAGGCAACGAATATATGTCAGACATGAGGAAGTCGACGATTCCCTGGTTGTGTCTTCTATGCCTGTCAGCCAGTTCTTAGCTGAAGCAATGGCCACGCTAGAGATCGGGACGTTCGTCCTTATTCTCGCTCCAGACAGGCCCCTTAAATGTGCCGGACTTTCTGCGCAGCCGCAAATCTTGGTCAGGTTCACTCAAAAGGTTCCTCCAGTTTGGCGCATTGTCGCCGGACAAATCGATCCCCTCCCACTTACGGCCTTCCTCCATGCTGATCGCTCTCGTTCGGCCACCTGGCAGAAATGCAAAGGACCAAAAAGGATAAACGTGAGAAAAGACAGTCAAAAGGGCTGGGGGGAAAAAAAAAAAGAAAAAAAAAAGACTTAGAGCAGACTCACACTAGGCACTCAAAATCCCAGCATTGCAAAATCAGAGACCAGATCCAGTCCTCTTCAAAGAAGAACTCCATCTGGCCGGACATTTTGCTATTCTGTGATTTTGAGGGTCTAGCGTGAGTATACGCTTAGAAGAAGGGCTAGGAAGCAATTGCTGCAATGTAAAGTGCCGGTGACTACAGTCTTCCCCCCAAAAAAATGAACGTGCGTTGTATATGAATACAGTGCACGGGGTGCGTTGTATTCGTATACAAAAAGAATGCACGTGCGTTGTATATGAATATAGCGCACCCCGGGGTGCATTGTATTCGTATACAAGGCACGTGCGTAGTGCTACGGATTTTGGGCACTAACTTTGGAAAAGTCCACCCCCCAAAAAATCCAGTATATGCCGATACCTTTGCATGAATCCAGAAATGGAGGACTAGTAGGCCCGATACCGGCGCCCTCTCTCCACTACTTACCAAATGTACAAAATATAAATGGATCTTATGCCAGAAAATGGACATATGCGTCGTCATTTTTTTTGTCTATTGTGCATGTAGAAAGCAGTGGAGGGAGGCCCCAATCGTATGTACCCTGATTGTATGTACCATTCTACAGGTTGAGCGTTACATTCGAACAGTGGTGCAGTCTTGGATCGCCATCGCTATCACCCATGGGAGCAGCGAGTGAGAGAGGGAGGGGGCGGAGCACTCTGAAAATGAGTGCGGCACTGCATGCGGGCACACACACACACAGAGAGAGAGAGAGAGAGAGAGAGAGAGAGAGAGAGCAGGCGGAGCACCGCAGGGCACGCGTTTGAAAAACGAGCGCAGGATTTTGTATGTTCTCTTCAAATAGAACACACGTGTGTACTATTCGAATATAACATACGAGCATACTATTTGGATTCCCGAGGGCGACTTCAAGAAAGTCACTTTTTCCGGGGAAAGTTGAATAGTACATACGCGCGTTTTGTTCGGGGACTGAGCTCTTCAATCTGATACCCAATGGCTATTCAACAAAATTTGCACGTGTCGAAAAGCAGTGGCTATCGGCTATATATAGTCAAACAGAGCTGCCTACGGTAAACCGTAGGCAGAGAGGGAGAAGGGAGAAGAGGACAACAAATGAGGGAGGGGCTGTGACAAACTGTTTCGTCGGAGTTATTTATACAATCCTCCAGTCATTCGTGGGGAGCGGCATATGCTGGGAGCCGGGCATCAACTCGTTCAGAATCTGCTCGCAAGGGGTGCAAAATAGCGACTGTAAAAAAAAAAAAAAAAACAAGCAGATGACAGATGACGATGCCGGGACTTTCGCGAGGGCCTGGGTAGAGAAAGGGGTGATGCAATTGGCTCACCTTCGATAAACAAAAAGAAAACCGACCCACACTGCATAATATAGCGGCTCGCTTCCGGAGAGTTCACGATGCTACCCCTGCTCATTGGATCTCTGCCCTCAGGGAAGGTGTCGGGCTCAGTCCCCGACTCTTGGCGACGGGATCCGGATGGCGATGATAAAATTGTGCGGAAAGTCATCGGTGCAGACCTGAGGTCAGATA